CACCTCATTAATTCTTTCGGTACATTTATTCATTGCTGGGTTTTTTCTCCCCAATTTTTTTAAATAAGATGAAGTCAATTTAACTTCTTAACTGGCAACTGAAAATACAGTAGATTAGAGTTACATCATGTAGTTCTTAACACATTCTACAGAATTAAACTGTGGCATTCACTGAAAATCTGGGGACAGGGGGAGAGATATGAATATCCGTTTATACTTAGAAATAAACTTAGATTCTATAGGCTACTCTACATAAATAATGTGAAGAAATTTGAATGTGTAGATTGTTTGATGTGTAGACAGATAATATTAACATTTCCTCTGTAGGCCTCTCTGTGGCAGCAGAAACTGTTTCTTCATCCCCATCATCCTGTGAAGATGAGCATTTGATTGAGCACATTTTATAATACTATTTGTCATAATTTCTGGTGTATTGAGTAGGCTACTTACAACTGTCTGAGGTTCTCTTGGGACATGAGGCTCCAAAAGACAGATATTACCATCAGAATCGGTTGGGAGCAACAAAAAACCCAACCCAAAGTAAAATATATGGAAATATCAAAAACAGCCTATATAAAAAATAACACATATGTAGACCTCTTATACATTTTATGAAGGCACTTGAATCTTCGGGAGTGACTGGCTCTGATGAAGTCCCTCCAGGAATTCCCTCAGCCATTGGCCTTCCAGCATTCAGGCTCAGGGCCATCTCCTCTGCATCTCCATCTCCTCTCCATCTCCTCTGCATCTCCATCTTCATCTCCTCTGCATCTCCATCTTCATCTCCTCTGCATCTCCATCTCCATCTCCTCTCCATCTCCTCTGCATCTCCATCTCCTCTGCATCTCCATCTCCATCTTCATCTCCTCTGCATCTCCATCTTCATCTCCATCTCCTCTGCATCTTCATCTCCATCTTCATCTCCATCTCCTCTGCATCTTCATCTCCATCTTCTCTGCATCTCCATCTTCATCTCCATCTCCTCTGCATCTTCATCTCCATCTTCTCTGCATCTCCATCTCCTCTGCATCTTCATCTCCATCTTTGTGAGCCTCTTCCTTCTTTCTGTTGGCTGAGTAGAAGTCAAATGAGAATGACCATTTAATTGTGTTAATTAGACCTATGTCAAAAATGCTTTTGCACTGCTAAACACTGGATGCTATTTAGTTATTTAATATGTCAAATGTTTGTAAAGTCAGGTACCCTACATCCATGATATGCTCAAGCCTTACCTGATTGAATTATGTTTTATATTTCATTTTCAGCTGCTGCCATGTTCTTTTAATGCATGCAGGATTGCACCTAGGCTACATGAAAATTAAAATTAGGTTGAATAGCATACTGTTCTTCCACTTTCACCTCTGATATTATAACAGTTGGGTAAGTTACTCTAAAATAGTTATTAATTACTAACTACAAATGACATCTTCAACAGTGTAATTAGATTAATGTAATAATTACTATCTCTAGAAAGTATTACTTTAGAAAGTCTATTTATTACTAATTACTTTCTAAATCCCATATCAACCTCAACCACTTGAACGATACAAAAAGAGACAAAACTGCACTTTTAATGCTTTCAAATTAACAATATACAATTGCATGAATTATTCTTGAATTGACCAAAGTGTGTAGAGAGTGAAGGTTACATTAAAAATATACCTTTTAAAAATGTTATGTTAAATCCACTATTGTTTTAAACAGAATTGTTCTATAGTCTATGCAGTATTTAATGCAATGACATCATATTTTGCTTTATATTACAGAAGAATTAAGAGTAATCCCTTTAACTAAATGACAGTATTTAGATTACTTGGTGAGAAATATGCAGACCTCTTTTTGTCTGGCGCTGTTACCATGGTGACTCGTAATATCTGCGCTCCATTGATAATGGCTTTTTATAGTTGTGGTGCACGCGCTTAACTCAGAGTCAGTCAACTTAGAGTTGATTGAACTTACTCATTTCAGCTGTTCTGTAACCGAAAACTCAGAGTTTACCATCTCAGGGTAAGTCAACTCAGAGTTCAAGTTTTAACTCGGAGTTGGTTGAACCTCCTTATTGAAACGGGCCCCTGGTGTAGTAGCCAAATTTACCGTGTGGTTGCCTAGTGACAACAGGATGTGTATGAAATGGAGGGGAAAAGAAAGAAAGAGGGCGTCAAACAGATGAAGAAAACAATGCAAACCAGAATTGTAGTTCTGAAACGCATCTTGTAAAAGTTTTCCATTCATCATAAAGGTTCAGGTTATATCCTCTGTCCTCTTTAAAGTGATAGCTCACCCAAAAATTTAAATTGTGTCATCATTTACTCACCATCAAGACAGACAGTTGATGGTATATCCAACGACTTCCATGGTATTTTTTTACTACTATGGAAGTCAATGGGTGCCGTCAACTGTCTGGTTACCAACATTCTTCAAAATATCTTCTTTTGTGTTCAATAGAACAAAGAAACTCATACAGGTTTGGAACAACATGAGAGTAAGTAAATGATGACGGAATTTTAATATTTTTTGGTGCATTGTTCTTGGTAGTTATGCTCATAACACAGTTTCTCCAGTTCTCCTGAGTTAAAGTTTTTGTAGTGTAGGTACAGCATGAAATGGCAACAGTTTATGGCAACAGCTTATGGCAACAGATGGGACCCCCTGTCTTTAATCTTAAACAAAGAGAAATAAGATAATTATTACACAATATTAACATATTAATAAGAAGCAAATATGTTTGGTGTATAGTTATTATTCAAGATCAAACTGTGTTATGTGCATATCCATTCACCACACCCAGGTTGCATAATTATACCACAAGATGGTAGCAAGGAGCTAAAGCAGAATTCATCAGCCCAGTTTTTTTTCTCCCACTTTTCTCTCACGTCTTGCAATGAAATCCAGTAACACTCAAACCATTGCACTTGTTCCAGTAATTAGAAAGAGATGGTCCACTGAGAGCTGCCCGTTCTCGCACAGAGCATTGCTGTGATAGGTTTTGTGGCACCAGTGCCCAGCTCAATGCATGGATTGAAGTTGCTAAGCAACAATGTGCACAATAAACACTGTGTCAGTACACGGGGATGACAGCTGGTAACTTATGGAGATTATCTGGCTCACAGTGTGTTATTGCACCCTTTGAGTTAACTACAACAATTAATTAAGACTATAACTATACTGCAACTCATTACTGGCCATGCTTTTGTGTTTTGTCTCTAAGCACTACAGAAAGCAATGGGAATTGCACATTTGAGGTCAGAAAGCTCTCATAATTAACACTATGTGCAGCTGTTCGATTGTGCTGCAACAGAAAGTGCTGAATGTCACAGCTGTTGCTTATCTAATGTGCACTACCTTCTGCACTACACCTGAGGGATTACAAGCAATGTTGGAACCTGCTGCAAAAGGTAATCGGAAACATTTTCCTGAAAAGAATTGTCCTTTTCAGTGTAAAATGTATAGTCTATAAGAATATTTTTGTTGTGAATTCTGCCAATAAAACAAGGGATGATATGTTTTATCTCATGTCTGCACATCAGCTGGCTTTGAACTGACTCAAAATCAATACCAGACTCAAAAAGGATATTTTTAGCTAGCACACACATCTTAGTTCATCTTCCTCAAAAAGATCATGGGTACGCCCAATGATGGAAATGTCTGAACTATTTTTTCATTGTTGGCTTGGTCGAATGCTTGGTGATCCAGGGCATGAATTTAGTGTGATTATGAAGAACCCCGATCAATGTATTGCCAGTATTTACAGTGAAGTAGGTCGTACATGATGCTGAAAGCTCCACCAACAAGAGGGACTCATTTAGAGACCATATTTAGCAGCAGCAATCCCATCTGAAAGTCTTAAACTGAGGTCTTCTTCAGTATAAGAATGAGTCATATCTCCATGCCCCTGCCCTTAGCTGTTATAGGCGGCAACCCTCACGAAGATAAGAGGAATTCTGGGCCTTTAATAGCATGTGCTCTGTAGGCCCTGAGATAAAGCAGACATGCCATCAACCGCAAGACGGTGTCAGGGGACACTAATGGAAGTAAGCAAGTAGTGTAAAGTGGGTGCTCAATAACTCTGCAGACAAGCTGGACATCATGATAACAAAATATTACAGTGTAAAATGTTTCCATGGATTTGAAGGTTAACCACCCGTTGGATATTTTCTTGCTTTATTCTAGGGCCAAACATTTTCTGATGCATCATTAATCTTTACTCACTCCAGGTTGCTGTGTGGACACTCTAACATCATCTTCTCCCATTCATGCCATAATGCGTTTGCGGATTGAATTTCACAAGTTAAAGAATCAAGAAGGAATCACAGGTAATTTGTGTTTAATGTTTCTGCAACAGTGCTAATTAGATGCAGGTTGTGATCTGGTTATGTAAAACGGTGTAAAACTTGAAAATGAACAAGTTCATAGCAATTCATAATCCTTTAACAGACTTTATATTGACAGAATTTCACCAATAAAAATAATATTGATTGATATTGATTAATAAATTAAATTATGCAATTAAATGAAATTTAATTGAATTAAATCTGAACCAAATTAACAATTTCAAACAATAAAAAAGCTTGAATTTGTTTATATTTATTTATTTACATACAAGACAAATCACAAATATTGATATCTCTTTATGTGAAAATAATTTACACTGTCAGAAATCATTCTAATATGCTGATTTACTGCTCAATAAATATTTATTATTATTATATTATCAATGTTGAAAACAGTTGTGCTGCTTAAAATTTTTGTGGAATCCGTGATACATTTTTTCTTTCCAGATTCTTTGAGAAAAATCTAAAAAAAAAAATAGATTTTGGAACATTATAAATGTCTTTACTGTGTCACTTTTGATTAATTGAATACCCTTGCTGAATACAAGTATTCAGTCATTTCTCTAAAAACAAACTGCTGAACCCAAACATTTGAAGACCCAGGGAGATTTACATTGGGTTAATGATGACCCAAAATTAAAATTTAAGGCTTCTCTCTTCCTCCCTTTACACAGTCTGATGTCAGTGTTCTGGACTTGACCAAGTAGGAAGAGTCCAAAAAAAGGCAAGGGCTGAGAGAGGCTCACACACCCTCTAATCTCCCCAAAACTCCACACAGTTCTGCAGCACACATGCTCACAAACACACACACACACTTCAAATCTCAGTCTCATCTCTCTTGCACTTAAAATGCTCTGTTGGGAATTGAGTTTAGCCCTACTGTTCACCGGCTTCCCAGCGTGGGCTCTGCCTTCAACTAACATCAAGATCACACAAGGTGAGTGCCACCAGAACCAATGACAAGGATACAACGCAGACACAGATAATATGCTTTAATTAGTTTCTTTAAATAGGGCATAGACAGTCTCAAGCTAAACCAGAGCTGTTTTGCCAATTATAGATGCATCTGTTTGCAATGTAGTTTTCACCTCTATTTTACAGTTCCATTGAATGAATGTGACAGTATACAGTAAAAGCTATGCTTGAAATGTTTTATTGATTTACAAGAGCTTGGACTAACAGTGAAAGCATCTTTAAAGGTTAAGTATGACTCATAGTAGGCAAGAAAAGTTTTCGTGAAAAATATTGCCACAATATTAAGTAATGGTAACACTTTAAGGTAGAAAATACATTAGAAAAATACTTTTAAAGTATTTATTAATCTTAGTTAATGTTAATTTCAGCATTTACTAGATTATTAAAATCCAACGTAATAATTGTTGAACTTATTTGATGGACCTGAGCTATACATGAACTTACAATGACAGTTGTATTTCTACTAACTAACATTAACAAAGATTAGTCCATGCTGTAACAAATGTATTGCTCAATGTTAGTTAATGCATTAACTAATAGGACCTTATTTTAAAGTGCTTTCCGTATCCACAAATGCATTAACATTGGAATTAATTGATCAATTATTTATTTAGGAAGCTTTTTCTGACATTAAGCTGACTCAAATCATTGTAATGTAATATTTAAATTGTGTAATAATCAACGTTTTCATGGAAAGTGTAACCTATTTGATTTCGTTGCTTAACAGACTTTCTTTAACTCTTGCACAGCTCAAACTAAATTGAATGCAGGCTGTTGCTGTGAAAAGGAAACAATGACAATATATTTTGTGATCAGTTAGATACTTTCCAGATGATGTTTCAAATAACGTAACGGTGTTTTCAAGTGTATGGCCTATTAAACGTTCACTGCTGATTTAAATCTAAATAAACACTGCAAAAGGATTTAGTGTCATTACCATTTCCTCTAGCACTGCCCCTGCAACTGTCAGACTCAAACCAGCCTGTGACATGTCCGCTCTTCTGGACTGAATTTGAGGGTTACTGTTACCGCTTCTTCCCCTTGAACCGCACCTGGGCCGAGGCAGATCTGTACTGCGCTGAATTCTCAAACGGACACAAATCAGCCAAACTCACCTCCATCCACAGGTATGATTCCTTACCGACTGAGTGCTGAGATGCCATGATTTGTTTTAGAGCACAGGATTTTTGCTTGAAAATCTGACTTTCTAATAACTTTTTTCATAGCTGGGAAGAAAATGTGTTTGTCTATGATCTTGTGAACAGCCGTGTACCAGGAATTCCAACAGATATTTGGATTGGCCTTCATGACAGAAGACAGGTAAACATGATAACATTCTCTTTTAAGTGCAACACAAAACATTCCCACACAATGCATTTTATGAATGATTCATTGATGTTTTTTTTTACTAGGTTGTAATGTGAAGCAGTTCTTAGTTACGCATGAAAAACACTAACAGCTACATGACTTATTATGTGTTGTAAAAGGCAAGCCCAGCCAGTAACTAATAATCTCATTTACGGAAAATATAGTTTCTTTGAGTGACGTTTAATCATTTCCAGACACTGGTGAACCAACATTTTGGTCTAACACCAAGTTGAGGTAGATAGTTTATGGATGATGTAACACACCCTCTGATTGGTAAAGCAAAGGTTCTCAGAGATCCTGGATCAAATGATGCAAAGCCCAATCTGTGAACTCATGCCTGGCATGATGTCTTCAATTATCACTTCAGGGTCAAAGGGCAAGGAACAAGCAAATGTGATAGCATTGTTAATCATAGTTTGTTGGTATAGGAGGGCACTATGGAATGGACAGATGGGTCACCATATGAATACAATTACTGGGATGGAAATCAGCCAGATGATGGCATCCATCGCATCCCTGAGGAGGAGGACTGTGTGGAGATCTGGTACAGACAAAACAGTGGTGAGTGTTGCAATGGACTGAAGCACTAATTATTATGGCTATTTTTTATACAACAGTGAATAATTTCGTTAATTTAGTACAATTAATATAACATGATAAAAAACAACAGCAACAAATTGTAACCTACTACTACCGTTCAAAAGGTTGGGGCCATTAAGTTATTTTTTTTTTCCAAATATTTTGCTTTTCAAGGCTGCATTTATGTGACAAAAAAATAATACACTAAAAATAATAACATTGTGAATTATTATTACAACTTAAATAACTGTTTTCTATTTTGATATATTTCTAAATGTGATTTTGGCAAAGTTGAATTTTCAGCATCAGCATCTTGATCCTTCAGAAATCATTATAATATGCTGATTTGCTGTTCAAGAAACATTTCATCTGTTGACCTTTTTTTTCTTTTTTTTTGTGGAAACCGTGATACATTTTCTTTCAGGATTCGTTGATGAATAGAAAAATCTTACTGACCATATTGGAACAGTAGTGTATATTTACAAAAATATTAGTTTGGTGAATCAGCATTATGTTGTAATTCATTCTATTTTAGTTTTTTTCATAAGTTGATTGACAGCCCCACTAATTATGTAAAATTAAAAGGCATTACAAAATGGAGAAACTGTTTGCATCTTTCCATCTTTTGCAGCTCTGAGGTCTTGGAATGACAACAACTGTGATAAGGCCTTTCCATTCGTCTGTAAGATTCCTACACTGGAAAGCTAAGCTCAGATCTAAGATTGTTATCCAGTTCTTTATCATCATTCATCATCAACACTGACACCCCAACACCCCATGATCACAGTGTAGCAACAAGATGTCAGCTCGTCGGCATCCCTGCAGCGATGATGGTCTCTCTCTAGCCTGTTATAGGCACTTCACATGCGTTTCTCTCCCTTCCCTCCAGTTCCCTGCCCCCATCGTCCCTCCATCACTGTTGCTGTTTTCTTGTTCCTCTGGGGCCATGACTCATGACGTTCACATTCCTCATTCAACACTTTTGGAAATGAACCTTTTCTTTTCTCACCAGAGGAGCTGTTGCTTATATGTTGATATTGACGTGGTGATGTTGTTGGGAATTAGCTAGAGACCCGTACTGGTCTCCACAGAGATAGTAAGCTGCAGTATTTGGTGTTATAGACTGAACACTTAGTTCACAAGGAAAACTGAGTTCCCCACCCTTGATCATCTGGCTGTTAATATTTGGTGGACTTTTTTCATTTTTTTTAAACTTCTTTTCAAATAGGGTATATTTGCTGAAAACTTCTGTTATTTTTGTAAGTGGATGGTCTTATTTTTAACATGTGTCCACTTAATGACTCCTGAGTCTGGATCTGGCATCCAGTAATGCTGCCATAATGTCCAGCCTTGCACATTTATCTATCACTGACCTAGAAGGTGAGATTCTGAAAGAGAAGGGATTTAAGTCTCTGTTGACTGCAAAGCTTCAAACGACAGAAAGAGCTTAACCTCAGCCATGCAGACTGATGACCTTTTCTGCTTTTCTCTCCAATTAGTGACCAAAAAAATCCCAGTTCTTGTCCATGCAGCTGTTGGTAAAACAACCTTGCGCACCTAAATGTTTGCCACAAAATTCATTATTTTAAAGACTGTCTTCTTTTCAAATGAGCTGATTTGTATTTTCACTTTTTGAGTCATGAGCTGATTTCAATTTATTAATTTGAATTAGAATGAAATAGAGGTTTTACTACATTACAATTCAAAGACATTCAACCGAGTTTGGTGATGAAATAAATACTTACACAATTTTCCATAATCTTTTAATGTAAACATTTGCAAAATGGACATCATTGACCATTGCACTCGCGTCTTTTGCAGTGTCTTGCACTTGTCCAACACATTCTCATCCCAAGGCGTCATCTAACTGACGCTTTTGACCATGCGTCTAAATCCGACGCACATGGCACCCTTTAGCGTCAGTTAGATGACGCTTCCGTTATGGGTAGGTTTAGGTCTGGGGTAGGGTTAGGGTTAGACCACTAGGAGGCGCGTCTCATATTGACGCTTAAGGGGTACCATGTGCGTCGGCATGTTGACGCATGGTCAAAAGCGTCAGTTAGATGACGCCTTGGATGAGAATGGGCTGACTTGTCACTAAAAGTGTGTTCTAAAAGAGCGGTGCTAAAGTTAAAAGAAGTTGTACAACATCTAAAAAATGCATCTCCATTGCCATGAGTCTCGTGGTTTTATACGCAAAAACACATTCTGTACAAAGGCTATGGTGATATATGAGATGGGAGGAAAAATTCCTCGGGGAACCCAAACACATTTTGCAAGCAAACAAATAGTATTTTGGGGGAACGCAAAACATTTGTGATTGTGAAAGAACGCAAAAGCATTACCATACAATTCTTCTCATCTCATTTTTTTTTTAATCACCATGTCCGTTTAGGCCGGGGCTCCGTACATTCGGTGTGACTGACAGCCATCAAAACTAATTTTAACTCTGCCATATAGAACCAGTTCACCACACCACAGATAGAAAAGTTATACTGAAATTGGGTTAAATCCTGGGAAATAAAGTATTCTTCTTTCAACATGGTTCATAAAATTCATTAATGTGAATATAAATCTATTTGTGAAGTACAGCAGAGATATATTTTAAAGTTGTCAGGTGAAAATCTTGTAATAGATGACACAATCAGTGTTGGGGAAGCTACTTTGAAACTGTAGTTTGACAAGCTACAAGCTACTCGTTAGTTAAAGTAGTTAAACTACAGTCAAGCTACCCTTTTGGAAAAGTAGTTAGCTACACTACAAGTTACGATCAAAAAGTAGCTAGCTACATTGAAACAATTTAGCTTTTTTTTGAACAACATATATTATAAATAACTGAATAAGTGTCTGAGGAATGTTTTAAGTAAAATATGTAGTGTTTAAAACAATGCAATACAATTATGATTTTTATTGTTTTCTTACACACAACACTCAAATATCTCAGACTGTTTGTCAAAAGTGCAAAATTGCAACAAATACAACATTGCAAGAACAAAATATACATCCAACGTAAATTGCATGTATAGACTTTTTCTCAAAAATACCGATTGTGAGATGGTTGCATTTTGGCAAGAAAATACATTGAACAACCGCTCACATGTGTTACTGACAATGCACGTTAAACTCGCTCACATGCAGTGATGGAGCCAGTGGCGTAGGCAGAAATTGTATTTTGGGTGGGCCAGTGAAAATGTGAGTGGGCCTATAGTTTTTTCATAGAAAAAAATGACCAGTAATAATTAACCTTAGAGAGTAGAAAAATTAATAGACAAACTGCAAAAACAGTTACACCTTTATATTCGGCAAATCATCATGTTCAACCAACAGAGCTTAATAAAGGTTGGACAAACCAGTGTAGACAATAACCTGTCTATTTTATTCAGGCTAGTCAGCAGTGCAAAGACAGTTCACCCGAAAATAAAGTAAGCTAAAATAATAATATCACAGTTAGATCGGCGGATAAACCCGCGTCAGGCTGACCGGGAGAGAGGGAGCAAGAAGCAGCCGCCACCAGCACCTGACTAGCCTTCTCCTGGGGAAATGAGTCGGAAGAACTGGGCTGTGTGGACTCGGTAGTTGAAGGCAGTGGCGTGTCTTCTTCCTCAACTCTTGCTTTTTTCAAATAGCACATTAAAGAAAGTTGTTAAGCCATTATTGTGGCGCCGACGCCGCTGAGAGTTTTCCTGTCGGAACCCCCAGCAACCATAGCAACCAATAACGTTCCGGAGAGAGGCTTTCTACAACTTGCTTCGACAGTTCCATTTTATTCGGAAAACGAATTAAACACACACAGCAGTCAACAATAAATCAGGTGTATATTAATATATTTTCTTAAATACATTTGAATAAAAATAAACTAAAAATGTATTTTTATCAAACTTGCCTGGGCGGGCCAGTGAGTAATGTGGGCGGGCCAGTGCCGCCCTGGCCCAATACTAGCTACGCCCCTGGATGGAGCTCGCAGAATTTACTGTGAAAGAAGAACCTGAATCACAAGCTGCTTGTGAGCACAGTTCGGTTCGCTCTGAAACCAGTCACAACAAATCTATACAGCAATTTAATTAGATCAAAGCCTTTGTCGTGCGATAAACAAACTAAGATTACATTTTTTGTTCAACTGAAACACGATGGCGCAAACTTTAGTTTAGTGTTCTTTTATGTTCATTACCAAACGCGGACAGATCATGGCGGTTCATTGTAATTAAATCAGAAATAGAAATTTGATGTAACAGAGAGAGCAATAAAGCAGGATAATTAATACATTTTAAAATGGCCATTAATCACCTGTATGTGCGTCCTTAAATTTGTGCTTGTCTTCTGTACGTCAGTGAACCGTTAGCCGCAAGATGCGTGAATAAACAACAGGTGGCGGTAATGGCAAAACAAATTAGTTTGTAATCTAACAAGAAGAAGAATATCCTTGCATCGCGCTGATTCGCGCAGGCTCAACAAAACACAATGTAGCTTTTGCTCGCGCTACACCGCTACTTGCTGCAAAAAGTAGTTATAACTATAGCTACTGGAAAAGCTACACTGTTTAAAAAGCAACTGAGCTACTGCCAAGCTACTGAAAAATGTAGTTAAGTTAGTAGCGTCGCTACTTGTAGTTAACTACTCCCCAACACTGGACACAATGCAGAAATATCCTAAAATGCATTTCAAAATAATTTATGTCAAGAGCAATATTCAAGTTTGTTGATATGATTTCATCTGTAATCATGGTATTTTTCATCATTTTGTGCCTGACACAGACCCAGGACTCATGTGCAGTGGGGTTAAGCTGTTCCCTTGTTGCTGAAGACCAGTAATTAAGTGACCCTCTTCTAGCCCTCGACAGTAATTATCTCCCTCTTAAAACATGCAGAGGGAACATTTTTACACAAACAAGCCTGACTCATTTTTTTGTGGTTTAATTAGTGTATTGTCAGGGTCATCACTGCAATTGCAAAATATTATGGTTTAAACAAATATTATTAAAATGAAAAACAAAGGGTTCACACATAAAAAAAAACTTCCAATGATGTTACTGATGTCCAATCTGCACCATAGTGCAGGTATATGAAATAGGTCTACAAGTATAAGAAGATTCAATAAAAAGAAAATCTATATTACAAAACATACTGAAACAAGGTAGAAGCCCAGTAACAAACATCACTTTAATGCATTGTGGAACAACCAAAATACACTTTCCACACTTAATACATCTCTCTGAAGGATTCACACATTACAATCTCCATGAAAGAGACCTTTAAAGGGATTCTGCTAATTTCTTCGCACACTTAATAAACCATTACATGGACAGCATCAGCGTAACAAACTCTCAGAGGGTTCAGATCAGACAAGGAGACAGTGGACTAAACCTTTTTTGTTGTGTTTTGTTTAAAATATAATGAAGACAGACATTACAAAACAGTTCCCCTTGACACCAAAATCTTTGTCAGTGAAGTCATTTCAATAACCTTTTCATTTATCATGATTTATCTACGTATATTCTATCCATTTCTTTTTTCATCTATTGTGACATGCATATGTTCAATTCTCTGTAAGTTATAAATATATACAGATATGTTTTAGAGATAAATATATCTATTATTATATCAATTTTTATCTAAATAAATATAAACATCTTCACTGGCACAGCTTCATTATTATTATTATCATGTTATGATTACCACTCTAATCATTTGTACTGTCATCTACACTAACATTGACATTGGTGGAAACATACAACTGACTCTTGACCTGAAACAAGCACTTAACTCGCACAGGTCACACACAAGATTACAACGAAAGATACAGTAACGTTTCTGATTTTCCCAATCATATCTTGTTATATGCTTATGAACTTCATAGACTGACTGAGAAAAAGACAAAATACAGCTCCAACATGTCGATAATATACAGTATATGAACTGAACCTGGCAAAAGCGTTGGACAAGGAGTGAAGGTAATAAAGTGAAGAGAAATGCATGTATCTGCACCTTCTTGGCATGGCATTATATTGCCCAAGCTGTGAAGACATGTTCACTGTTTGTGCAGACACTAACACTAATGCATTTACACAGTGATATACAGACCTCTACGGAAGGCCTGAGAGGCCATAAATGATTACTTCTCTCTTTTGTTGGGAGTCTTTTGACTTAATTTTCTTGTGATTTCCAAATAACAAAAGAAAAGTTGTTTTCTCAAAAGTTGGGGGTCGGTAAGATTTTTTTTTATTTTTATAGTATCGTATGCTCACAAAGGCTGCATTTATTTGATTAGAAAATACAGTAAACAGTGACTTTTTTATTTGAATATATTTTACTCCTGTGATGTAAAAACTGAATTTTGAGCATCATTACTCCTCATGATTACTCACATGATCCTTCAGAAATCATTCAAATATGATGCTCAATAAACATTTCTAATTATTATCAATGTTGAAAACAGTTGTGCTGTTTAATATTTTTGTGGAAACTGTGAGGCATTGATTTAAAATAAAAATCTTTTGTAACATTATTAATGCCTTTTGATGATTTTAATGTATCCTTGCTGAATAAACGTATTCATTTCTTTAAAAAATATATTTTTTAAGAAAAACCTTTGAAAGGAAGTGTATGGATATAGAATTGTTTAAGAGACGACATGAGAAATAGTGAGGAACATACAGAAAACCAAAAGTAAAGATCACAAGAAAAAAAACCTTTGATATGTTCATATCACAAAAAAATTAAGTCAAGATTAAGAAAAAACAAAACAAAAATAAATAAATAAATAAAATAAAATAATGCATGGCCTCTTAAGGTTTCTGTAAATCTCAGCTGCCATAAGTGCAAACATTTACCAAACATACACTCACAAACATTTACACACACAATCAAAGGTCAAAATGTGCATGGAGGACAGTGATACGGGTCACAAAACACAAGCTTTGGTGTAAAATCAGATTTGAAACAGTCAAACCGGGAAATTAAAAATTTCCTTCTGTGCTGTCACAGATTTTCAACTACCTCAAAAACTGCAATCATATTGAAGTCTGAAGAAAAGAAACAATATGATTAAGACACAGCAGACCATACCATTGGTTAGGTGTGGTCCAAACTGCCTGAGCCTCACAGCCTGAATGCAGCTGACGATCAGAAGATGATGAGATTATTCAGCTCCCGTGTAAGATAGTATCAATGTGATAAAAAGAAAACATGGACAGCAGGCTTCTGCTCATCATCATAAATTGAAAAACTCTCCGAGGTCTTTTCTACGATCTCTGAGGTCTCTTCAACAATCTACGTCTCCCCATAATATTAATGATAAGGGAGAGTGAACACAAATAACACTGAGATAAAGCCCCCCATTCAATAGAGTAGTGTTTCCCAACCCTGCTCCTGAAGGACCCCCAACACTGCACGTTTCCCCATGTGATAATGAGCTGATGAGTTGAATCAGGTGTGTTTGATTAGGGAGACAAAGAAAACGTGCAGTGTTGGGGGTCCTTCGGGAGCAGGGTTGGGAATCACTGCTATAGAGAATAGATTCAAACCCTTAAAAATAACACACTGAAACCTCAAGACGCTCCCAGATGTTTGCGTTTTAAGTCAAAGTTCTTTTCCATAGATCACTGACTCTACCGTGTTAGTATTATGTGACCTCCAGAGAAGCAGGAGAGACGCGGTCACACTCGGCACGGGAGCGCAGGCTGTGCCACTGTTCCACCGGGGTGCGCTGGGAGCTCATGAGCCGGCGCCAGTGCGTGGTTTCCTGCGGGCCAGTGGAGAACTGGCCAATCACGATGCGGCCGACAAAATCGTTGCTGCTTTTCATATTGTGCCCGTAAACTAAGAAGGAAAAGACATCAAATCAATGTTACATTCGGAAATAATCAGACTAACACCTTATTAGTGATAATGGCTGCTTGGAGTTTCTGTACTGCGAATGAATTAAAGTGATATAGCTCACCCAAAAACTAAAATTGTGTCATCATTTACTCACCATCAAGACAGACAGTTGATGGTAGCCATCGACTGCCATAGTATTTTTTCCCCCTATGGAAGTCAATGGGTGCCGTCAACTGTCTGGTTACCAACATTCTTCAAAATATCTTCTTTTGTGTTCAACAGAACAAAGAAACTCATACAGGTTTGGAACAACATGAGGGTGAATAAATGACAGAATTGTCAGTTTTGGGTGAACTATCCCTTTAAGATTTCCCCCCTCTATCCATTGTTTTATACAGACATATCAGGGGTTTTACCATTAAAAACATTTTCATTACTAAAAAACATTAACTGAAATAAAATAAAATGTAAAAAAACGTAAACTTATTTTATTTCAGCTATAGATGCAGAGGCAACATTTCTCATTTTAAGTTGAAGTACTAAAATGACTTTAAATAAACAAGAACTTAATAAAAACAGACATATTAAAAAACACTAATAAATAATGACCATAAAACAACTAAATGACAAAAACTTTAACTTAAATTAGAATGAAAACAGAAAACATAAGTCAAAATATAAATAAAAACTATAATTATATACAGTATAAATGATACTAAAATAACACTGACACGAATGTATCCTCTCATTTATTTTGCTTATTATTCATCTTTTCTGTCAATCTCTTTTTCTGCGCCTCAATCCAATTTTGTAAATGGAGTTGGGTCAGAGTATGAGACACTGTTAATTTCATCACGTTGCTCCTAAACAAGATTGAAGACTTTTTCCCCCGCTGATTTTCCCCTCATTCCTGTAACTGGCAGCGGAGTGCTGGGAAAATAGCAGGAAACGCAAATAATATTGTCACAAAGCCTAGAGATGGCAGTCAAGGATGCAGCCGCACTTCAGACAAGGATCTCACAGCATCACGACTCCAGCTGCAGACCAGAGCTGGTAAAACGCCGTCACCAAGCAACATCAGCAGCTCTTGAGAAGAGCTTATCCAACTGAACGCCAAGGACTCCTTCACCTTGGTGTGGCTCAAGTATACAGTTAAAGTTCGTATTACAGCCTACAGGAGCGAACATAATATGCATTTCAACTACTCCTTCTCCTAACCACTATTTGAATTCAAGGTGGAAGACAGTCCTATTTAAAGTGGAGAGTTAAAGAACCTTCAATTAGATTAGCTGACACTCTTTTGTGGAATAAAATGTGAATATATGACAAAATGTAAAAAAACAACAACAAAAAAAACATAAAAAAAATATTAAGTAGTCCACATGACTTTTGCGCAGCGCTATATTCCAACCCAAGCCTGTGAGTCTAATATCGTCAATGAATCAGCTGATTCAGTTCATAAAGCCATTGTGAATTACTGAATGAATGATTGAATGATCATGAATCCATTTCTTGAGTTCATCTCCCAGACTCAATGATCCGGTTGCAATGGTTAACAGCCAATTAAAAGGGGAGATTATCAGTTAAAATAAATAAATAAACCAATTTCAGTCAGTATTTAAAGGAGTAGTTCATTAAATGAAAATGCTGTCATCATTTACTCACCCTCAAGTTGTTTCAAACCAATATGAATTTATTTATTCTGCTGTACACAAAGGAAGATATACTGAAGAATTTCTGTAACTAAACAGTTGATGTTTGGAAGTCAACCCATTGACTTCCATAGTATTTCTTTATTCATCAACTGTCCGCTTACCGACATTCTTCAAAATATCTTCCTTTGTGTTCAGCAGAAGAAATAAATTCATACTGGTTTGAAACAACTTGGGGGGGGGGAGTAAATGATGACAGCATTTTCATTTATAAGTTAACTACTCCTTTAAGAAGATTTGGAATATAATGCAGAAGTTGAATGGACCGCTTTTATGATAATTTTATTGTGTGCTTTTGCATCCTTTTTGGAATTTGAAAACTCCCCATTCATTGTAATTGTAAATGAGCAATCAGCAAGTTATCCAAAATTTATCCAAACAAATGTGTTTGGAACAACATGAGGGTGAATAATTTCTTTTTTTTTTTTCAGAATTTTTATTTGTCACTTTTTTGATCATTTCTGACCAGTCCTTTAAAACAGGAATAATTGAAAAAACACTTCCGATATTAATCTTCCCTATTATTCGATAAAAGAGTTTGTTAAACCACATTCATGTCTTCATGCTCTGCAAAATATATGTCAGTTAGGAGACAAACATTGAGCTGTTTGGATGGCTGACATCATCAGTTTAAACCAAAGGAACAGGCGTGGTGAGTGTTTGGCGCAGACGCATGCACTGGACTCGCTATGTTGAGCTGTTGACATCATCAGCATGTGTCACATTCAACAGTCCTGAGGGAGCTCTCCAACTATGGGTTGTGATGAGGTAAAGATCGTTCCTGTTGGCTCTGAATGGGAAATACTAAGGCTGAATCAAGTGTTTTCTTATAAGGCATGAATATCTCCTACTCCAAAGGCACAACTGTGTATCAAAGGAAGCAATTTTGAAAAGTAAAGAGGGAAATCTTCAGCTCAAAACAACACATAACAGCAGTAAACCAATATGAACACTATCATTTACCCCACTATCATTATTTTAAATAACCCTCTGGTACTGTTCGCGTGGCAGTCAAAAATGACCTTTTTTTTTAATATTTAAACTAAATGATTTTATTATATTTCAGTTCAATAATATTTTTTATTTAATATTTTGTATTTTTAGGGGATTTTATGGTACTAAATTATATTTATGCAGTAGTTATAATCCAATTATTCCTTTTTTGAGCATGGACCTGAAAATGAATACATCTTTAATGCTTTGGAGAAGACACTTAAGTTTGATCTTTTTTAAAAGATGACACTTGGCAGATTATTTCTGAAGTAAAAAAAAAAAAGTTTAAAACAGTGAACTTGAAATTTTACATTTATTGTTATGAAAAATGCACAAAAATACAATTTTGATTAAGCATGTGAATAAACAAAATGAATGTTATTATTATTATTTGTATTAGTATTGTTATTATTAATAATTCTATATTTGTATTATTCAAATGCTATAACTAAACTATCTGAATACTTTATTTTAAAACACTGGATGTTTGTATCAACCTAATAATAATTAATAACAATAACAAAAATAATAATATACAATCATTAATTTTGTGTTTCATATTATTATTATTATTATTAACAACAAAAAAAAACAAATTAATAAATAAATGTTGTATTATTAGAATGGTAACTAAACTAATATCTGATTTCATTGTTTTAAAACACTGGATGTTTGTATTATATCTTAAAAATAATAACAATAATATAATAATCAATTTACAATATAATAATATACAATCAATAATTTACAGTTTAATATTATTAAACAAACAAACAAACAAACAAATACATATTTTTATTATTAGAATAGTAACTAAACTAATATCCGATTAATTTGTTTTAAAACACTGGACGTTTGTACTGCATTTTGCTTATGTTGCCTCAGTATACTCATGTAAGTACATTTATGACGTTTCTGTGCATTAAAAAGTCTGTGTAAACACACATTTTGTACTAAACAGGACAATCCAAATATCTCAGATCACTAGTGAAAGCATCACACCTATGATGATGGGCACAGTTTTGACCCTTTCCAGTGCGCATAGCTGCCTAATGGGAGTCATGTTGAACAGAGCCAGAAGATCTGTTTCCACTCACTGCTTATGGATAGCATATGGACATAACACCACCATTAAACTCCTATTACCTGCTCAGCCAGAGGGATCCTTCAGTTAAAGACAAAGAGAATGATAATGGGATATGCAAAGATATAAAAGTAAAAGAACTGACAAAAAAAGCGAGCTAAAGAGAAGAGAGAGACTCATCAAACAGACCAGGAGTGAGAGACAGAGTCCCAGCAGGGGTGGGATTGCAGGCAGCGTTTGATTGCAAGTCTTTGTAGTCAGAAACATCAGAGTGAAGCAGTGGGCAGACGGCCCTGGCTGGTACCACTGAGAGAGACACATGCTGACCAGCCTAGATGGGGCACAGGCTGCACTCACCCTTTAGAATGAGATATTCCTGTATTTAAATAACACTGTCGACTCAGCAGACTGATTAAAGCTGAGGAAGCCAGTGAAAACTAAACGTTGGACTGGGCTTGCTGCTCTCTACTGTCTCAAATGTCCGGTTATGAGCATAGGCCACTCTCGGCCCTATGCAATCATAGTGCATGGCTGCAGCTGGGTGATGAGTGCAAATATTAAATGTCAGTGTGTACCAGTGCATAAAATCTCAGCATGAACAACTAGGTACAGGTCAGGTTCTGACTGGCAGCATTGGTAATTGAATAAATCCTATTTGAATTTAAGCGAACCTTAATGAGGTTTCCCAAGGCAGCCCTTGGTCACAAGCTTGATTCAGTAATTGTGAGGAATTGCAACATACATATCACCAGGTTTAAAATGGACATGTCCTACATGTGGCTATTCACCTTTATTGTATTAGGTATCCAGCTAGATAGCTTCAACTGTTATGAATAGGGCAATGACTTTTAGTGTAACATTTTTTTAAATATACACTCACCGGCCACTTTATTAGGTACCCCATGCTAGTAACGGGTTGGACCCCCTTTTGCCTTCAGAACTGCCTCAATTCTTCGTGGCATAGATTCAACAAGGTGCTGGAAGCATTCCTCAGGGAGTTTGGTCCATATTGACATGATGGCATCACACAGTTGCCGCAGATTTGTCGGCTGCACATCCATGATGCGAATCTCCCGTTCCACCACATCCCAAAGATGCTCTATTGGGTTGAGATCTGGTGACTGTGGAGGCCATTTTAGTACAGTGAACTCATTGTCATGTTCAAGAAACCAATTTGAAATGATTAGAGCTTTGTGACATGGTGGAAGCAGCCATCAGAGGATGGGTACATGGTGGCCATAAAGGGATGGACATGGTCAGAAACAATGCTCAGGTAGGCCGTGGCATTTAAACGATGCCCAATTGGCACTAAGGGGCCTAAAGTGTGCCAGGAAAACATCCCCCACACCATTACACCACCACCACCAGCCTGCACAGTGGTAACAAGGCATGATGGTTCCATGTTCTCATTCTGTTTACGCCAAATTCTGACTCTACCATCTGAATGTCTCAACAGAAATCGAGACTCATCAGACCAGGCAACATTTTTCCAGTCTTCAACTGTTCAATTTTGGTGAGCTCTTGCAAATTGTAGCCTCTTCTTCCTATTTGTAGTGGAGATGAGTGGTACCCGGTGGAGTCTTCTGCTGTTGTAGCCCATCCGCCTCAAGGTTGTGCGTGTTGTGGCTTCACAAATGCTTTGCTGCATACCTCGGTTGTAACGAGTGGTTATTTCAGTCACTGTTGCCCTTCTATCAGCTCGAACCAGTCTGGCCATTCTCCTCTGACCTCTGGCATCAACAAGGCATTTCCGCCCACAGAACTGCCGCTCACTGGATGTTTTTTCTTTTTCGGACCATTCTCTGTAAACCCTAGAGATGGTTGTGCGTGAAAATCCCAGTAGATTAGCAGTTTCTGAAATACTCAGACCAGCCCTTCTGGCACCAACAATCATGCCACGTTCAAAGTCACTCAAATCAACTTTCTTCCCCATACTGATGCTCGGTTTGAACTGCAGGAGATTGTCTTGACCATGTCTACATGCCTAAATGCACTGAGTTGCCGCCATGTGATTGGCTGCTTAGAAATTAAGTGTTAACGAGCAGTTGGACAGGTGTACCTAATAAAGTGGCCGGTGAGTGTATATATCACACCAAAAATACACTTCTGTTCAAAATTTTTTTAAATGTTTTTTTTTAACAAGTCTCTTATGTTCACCAAGGCTGCATTTATTTGATCAAAAATACAGTAAAACCAGTAACATTGTTAAATATTATTCCAATTTAAAAGAACTGTTTTCTATATTAATATATTTTAAAATTAAACTAATTCCTGTGTTTGCAAAGCTGAATTTTCAGCATCATTACTCCAGTCTTCAGTGTCACATGATCCTTCAGAAATCATATGATGATTTGCTGCTCAAGAAACATTTCTCATTTGTGCTGCTTAATATTTTTGTGGATAAAATTTTTAAGGATTATTTGATGAATAGAAAGTTTAAAAGAATAACATTTATTTGAAACAGAAATCTTTTGTAACATTATAAATGTCTTTACAGTCACTTTTGATCAACCGAATTCAATCTCTGAAATAAAAGTATACATTTAATTGAATAAATCCTTACTGATCCAAAACTTTTTATATAAAAAATATATTATATATATTTTTTTAAATATATGCAAAATAATGCATACAATCATGCCAATTCAATTAATTTGATAAATATTCCTACCACTTGAATCTTTAATATACACAAAAAAGTAAATAAAAAATTGTGTTTGCTAGAAAGGTCAAGAAAGGTTTGTTTAGAGATCTGTATGAATGTTTTTCTGTTGGCATATTCCTGTGTACATGTTTATGTTCAAAACAATACCTGTGAACACAAGACTGACTTCACACAGGTCCTCTTGAGGCACACGGAAGCTAAAGGACTCATTGTAGCAGGGGTCAATGGTGCCTCTCATACAGGACGTTTTCTTAGTCTTCATCAACTTAAGACCTGTCACCAACTGCACCTTCACAAAAGGATCTGATAACAGAGAAGTAACTTTGTTAAAGTTGACGTAAATTGCCATCTGAAACAAATTTCACTTTTGTAATGTAACATTTCTGAGTGAAACAGGTTACTCAGTGACAAAAGATCCAGGGCAAGACTTGATTTTATTCATCAGGAAAAGATTGGATTATGAAAGTGCACATTACATACCAAAATGGAGCAAGACCAGACTGTAAAATCTAACAGTTGTTCTAACTAACACTATTTAGTTAACTTTACTTAATGTCTTAACTTAATTGTAGAAATCTAGTAATTTCTTACTCAGAAAACCCAAATTAATATTAATTGATTGGTTTGAGTACCATTTTGTCATTCTTAATACACTTTTCACTTTCATTTCTTCCACTTCTGCTGCTATCTTTCTCCTTAGTTGTATTCACTCATTTTCCAAAGTTTAAGGGAACACCACATAAGTTTTCTTCATAAATTGATGTTGATTTCCTAAAATGGCTTTGTATGAAGTCACCATTACTATTCCATTTGGTTGGGCACTTTGAACGTCATTTCCTTCCAATTGATGCAGTGATGCAATAAGAAATCAAAGTTGTTTGTGCTTTCAAAGAAAGAGAAGTAATAGGTTGCTTTTAAAAGGTGACCTAACTTCTAACTAAACCATCTACTTTTCATGTAGAATTATGATCTATTAAAACTGTGTTGCTAACACTTATGTCATTAACACCTTGTGAATCATAAAACTTTTAATTGGGTTTATATAATACATTTTATTTGTTATTTATTAATTGTAACACTAACAGTTTTATTTGCAATTGCTTATTTTATTCATGCCCCAATGCACTCCGGGAGTCATTAATTCTGAGTAGCTACACTAAGTCAAGAGTAAATCCCAAGTAAATTATCAAGTACTCTCAACAGTTCTTTTTTAGTTAGAACTCTCGTGTAAGTGAACTACACCAACTACAACATTATTGTACTGACAAATAACTATTCCTATTTCCCTTAGAATTTAAAGAGCAGAACGAGGAAAACACACTGAAATAGATTTACCTGAACCTTGGCACATGTCGGTCTGAAGCAGCTGCTTTGCTCGGATGATGTCCACATTTAACCTGCCAGCACTGGGCAGGTAGTTTAAGGACAGAAGCAGCTCACCAAGCTCAACCTCATTCTGAGAAACATCACATTCAAGAAATCAGTGTCATGATAATGATGTCAGTAAATTAACACTTTGTACCGGTACTTATACTACCTTTTTAAATGTGACAACAACTAAAATGAAAGCTTTAATGTCAGAGTCATTTTAAAATAAAAAGCATTTGTAACATGACAAGTTGCTGGTTTGTTCAGATAGTTTCTTGACAAATGCTTCAGGTTAATATCAATTGGAACAGAGATAAATACAGAACCGTTCAAAATATTAGGGTCTGTACGTTTTTTTTATTTTTTTTTTTTAGAATTGAATGCTTTTATTCAGCAAGAATGCCTTAACTTGAGCAAAAGTGACAGTAAAGACTTTTATAATGTTACAAAAGATTTCTATTTCAAATAAATGCTTTTCGATTTAACTTTGTATTCATCAAAGAATCCTGAATAAATGTATCAGTTTCATGAAACATTAAGCAGCACAACTGTTTTCAACATTGATAATAATAAGAAATGTTTTTTTTTGAGCAGCAAATCATCATATTAGAATGACTTCAGAAGGATCATGTGACACTGAAGACTGGAGTAATGATCCTGAAAATTAAGCTTTGCAATCACAGGAACAAATTACATTTTAATATATAGGCTATATATATGTATGTATATATATATATAAAAGTGTTATTTTAAATTGTAATAATATTTCACAATATATTATCAAATAAATGCAGCCTTGGTGAGCATTTCTTTCAAAAGCAATAAAAAAAATCTTACAGACCACAAACATTTGAATGGTAGTTTATCTTTTTGAGCTGCATATTAAACCTCTCAAAACACAAGGTTAATGTTCGTTTAACACATCCTAAACACAGATCTTGTAGGTGGTGTGGTGTGCATTCTTTCGAGGCAGGGCACTCTGGCATATGGCTGCAATGATTTCATATTTTTCTAAATAACTTAATTTACTTTTATGTGGCCTCACTTCATCATGTTCGTCATTGTGCAAGCGGCACACCTAAAATAAATGAAAGAAAAAAAAAGGTATGAGTGGTATTACCTGAGAACTGGGCACCAGGGCCTTCCACCAATGCCCTCCCTTCACTAGGTCAACCTCACTAAGAGGAAGAGACACTTTCCCGATGACACAGTGGCGTGAAAACTTGTCGAAGTCAACCAAAGAGAGCAGTAGGGTGCGTCTCTGGGCCTCCAGGAAGGGGAGCTCAAAAGTGAAGCGCTCTTCAAACACGGGGTTCTGGGTCTTGCGTTTAACCCCAGTCTGCCTGGAGTTCTTGTGGTCGGGGAGCAGGCTCATCTTCACGTAGGGGTTTGAGTGGGCCATGTCTTGGCGAGCACCGTCGCACGTTACCGGAGGGGGCAGATCCCGGGCCTCGATGACTCGCACGCTAAGGTGGCCATTGATAAGATCATACTGTGTGCTGAAGTGCAGCATGCCTAGATGGTATCGCGCCAGGATCTCTTCATCCGTCAAAGAGTCAACATCATCACTGCATGAGTCCAGGGAGTACAGATGAGGCTCCAGTTTGCGGAAGTAGTCATCTGGTGGTGTCGGGGGCTTACGCAGGGGCTGCACCACTTCCTTCCTGGGTCCCATGGCCCAAAATTCAATCGGCTTTACATCCACCATGGGGGAGCTTGGTCGTCGGGAGTTCAGACCTGTGATATGGGAGAGCCATTAAGTAAAATTCAAGTCAACATACTCACGCTAATCTGTTTAAATTGAGAGTGAAGTCTTGGCTCACTGGAGTGCTGGCCAGCCAGGCTGAAGGTGGATCGGGACGTTTCTGAGGTGGGCGGCCTGCAGTTTGTTGCGGTGTCAGATTGAGCAGGTAAAGCATGGTCGAGAGCCATGATGTGAGAATTTGTGCCTTTATCGTCATTGCATTCATTGACACTGAAAGAGATGACTTTGTTAAGCCTCAGTGACACTACTGGCATATTCCCTGTTGAAAAGTCCAACGTACATTGACATTTACACTACTGTTCAAAAGTTTGGGGTTGGTAAGATTTATTAATGTTTTAAAAAGTCTCTTATGCCCACCAATGCAGCATTTATTTAACCCAAATATAATTAAAACATTGTGAAAGTGAAACATTATTACAATTTAAAATAACTGGAAATAAAACCCATAACCTTACTGTAAAAAAATAGCTGCCTTAAATTCAGTACATTCAATTTGGATGTTTAAGTAATTTCAACTTAAATTACATTAACTGACTTAAAAAAATAAGTTGAATCTTGTATAACTTGTACAACTGAAATTGCTTAACTTATTTTGATGAGTAAAAGTAATGAAAAGCATATGTTGTCATAACGTATTGATAATATAAGTATTTACAGTGTTGGTGTTGCTACTAGCGTCATCCTCTACTATTCGAACTACAGGTTATGTTACCATTTTAACTATAGCAAAGCTTTCTTGGTCAACCAGCGGCAGGAGAAGGACTAAGGTTATTTAAGCTGTATGATGTTTATGAAACATTATGTGTGGGGTAATATTTTACTTTGCATGAAACACTATGATTACAGATGCTTCTGCCCATTAAGTCGATCACACAAATTCATGCTAAACTAGTGCCAACTTCTGAAAAGAAACCACATTTAGAAGAGGGAACAAACTTTTGCTAAGCAAAATCTGACACTCTGACTGAATCCACTTCTTAATAAATGTACACTCATATTATTGCCCAGTGTTGTGTAATATCTGTCACATCATCATCTAATCTGGTTGTTTTCCAACTATAGAGGTAAATATTCTGTGCGGGATTTCTTTGTCCAGGCCTGATTCCGAGTCATCCCTTGGGGATCATCAAGGACCCTTTGTGTCCATGACTACAGCTCAGAGGGAGATAGTTGTCATAGCAACGGGCGATTCTAAATCAAATGGCCTTAGGAGCAATTCGAGGCAACGAGAGAGGCTGGGCTTACAGGGCGAGGTATATGTCATGACCGTACAATCACAGTCTGGAAGTACAAGCTTAAAGATGCATCCCTTGCATCTCCAATGTATTATAAATTTAACACCCTTCTATGATCACTTTTTTTGGAAGCTCATAGTCAAAAGTCTTGCCACTCATCCAGCCATTTTGTCCCCGTTTTTGGTTTTACACAAACATCCAATTCCCACAAAGCATGAGCTCAGCCAGATCAGCATAAACCAGTAGTCTCTGGTGACCACCTCATCTCCATACCAAGTTTTACAACAGGAAACTAATGATAATAATGAAAATATTGCAAAATGGAAAAATAGACATGTATGGCCACCTTTGTTTAGTCCTGGTAAAAGTCACTGAATGATGTCATTAAGAAGGATGATTATAAAAGGCTTGCCAGCTTGTGGTGAATGTGTGCATTCAAAGAACTAATTATCCCAGCAAATACATGAATCACTTCTCCATTTAAATCATATTACCCTTGCTGTTCCTGCATGGGAACACAAATAGCTCCACACCCCAGTCATTATGATCTTGAGTAACAGGGAATAGACAAACAGGATCCTACAACGTCTCAGGAAAGCCATCTGTTGCATCAATATCACTTCCATTAGCCCGGAAAACCAATGACTACAAACTAGAGCTACATGATTTACTGCTCTATTAACAGTAGCTAAAATTAAGCAGGTAATTTGCAATGTAAGTAGAGAAGTAAAGATATTGTAACTTTATAAGAAGCTTACACTCAGTAGAGGATATCACAACTATGATGCCATAACCTTGTACTGAGCACCTTGAATTTCGCAATTACATTCATACTATGTTTTCAGCATGTACACAGTGCAAAGTATGCATTATATGCACATGCCAAAAAGTGTTGGTGTTACATACAGTATAATGTATCAATGCGACGTGCTTGACCTTCTATTTTCAGTATGATAAATAAACAAGAAGCTATATCAACAGTACATTTATACATATATATAGTATATTGCAGTATATATATATGTATACCATGCATATCATGCATGTGTATTCTCTGTATGAACGGAGTCCCAGATTGTATTCTGTACTACATTTACAAAATGCACAGTGTTAAATTGAAAACACTGATGGAGAAATGATGTCACAATGCAGTGTGCTCCACTATGCTTCCAATTTAAAAAAAAAAAAAAATCAGTGGAGTAATTCTTCATTAGCTGAAGATACAGTTAAGATATTTTACACGTGAATTTAAAATAAAAATTTGCTGAGATGATAACTGGATTCTGAGATGATAACTGGATGCCACATGCTGAATTAAACATGAAATGTAGTATAATCAACGTGACAGTAGTATATCAAACTCTTGTCATACAGTTATTGAATTCCAGCATACTACTTCATCCATATTCATAATGAACATTCTTGAATTATTATGTTTTTAATCAGACTGCCAGTGACAACACATTTTATACATAATTATGTAACACTTTACAATAGGGTTTTATTTGTTAACGTCAGTTAAGGTATTAACTAACATGAACTAACCATGAGCAATACATTTGTTACTGTATTTTTCATCTTTGTTACCATTAAAATACAAAAATACAGCTGTTCATTCTTTGTTCATGTTAGTTCACAGTGCATTAACTTATGTTAACAAATACAACTTTTGATTTTAAAGGGGTGGTTGACTATGATTTCACTTTTCTAACTTTGGTTAATGTGTAATGTTGCTGTTTAAGCATAAACAACATCTGCAAAGTTACATGCTCAAAGTTCAAAGCAAAGGGAGATATTTTCTTTGAAAGAAATTGCAACAAACGGCTGTTAGGGACAACAGGACATTCCTCCCGGGTTAGTGACATCACGAATCCTAAAATTTACATAAATCCCTCCCTCAGGAACACAATTTATAGATTATCATGACAGAATATGCTAATCAATGACTAGAAGATAACTACACATAAGCTTCATAAATTCATCAACTAACCATTCAGAAATGTTGTTTACATGTTGTCACTTCTTCCTGAGTTTCTCCATCTTTCTGACTCCGGTTTGAACATAAAAGGCTAAAAGATTTTGAAGTTTTCAGTGCATGTCTGTGTGAGGTAAAAGGACACAAGCTCTTGAAGCTCCGCCCTCTGTGCGGAGCACCAGCTCATTTGCATTTAAAGGGACAGACACAAAAACGTTGCGTTTTTGCTCACCCTCAAAAAGTGACAACTTTAACATACTATATAAAATATCTGCGGTATTTTTGAGCTAAAACTTCACATACACACTCTGGGGACATGAGTGTATTAGTAAATGTTTAAATTGACATCAACAAAGATTAATAAATGCTGTAGAAGTGCAGTTTATTATTAGTTTATGTTAACTAATGAAACCTTATTGTAAAGTGTGACCCAAAATTGGATTAACATGCAGACTTACTGTATCAACTTAATTGCATAACTGCTAGCACCATTTGCTGAATTAAATATGAAATATATTGAGGTCATGTGACAATAATTTATAGCATACTACTGTTTATAGACTACCATTCAAAAGTTTTGGGTCAGTAATATGTTTTGTTTGAAAGAAATCAATAATTTTATTCAGCAAGGATGCATTAAATTGATCAAATGTGACATAAAAAACGAGCCTTTAACAGATGGGATTGTCTTGTCTCATTCTGACTCTGACTCTTATGATGCGAGAGCAGACAGATGAGATGAATGATGTTCTGGGTTATTTTGTGTACGGGTGTGTACTCACAGCCATGATGGAGTCTGAGCTGGAAAAGGCCCCAGAATCTCCACCTCCTCATCAGTCGACTGACAGCAGCTGCACTCCCAGCACCACTGCCAACAGGAGCGACACGACCAGCGACACAACAGCAAGTCAGACAGTCTGGACAGAAGACCCTGAGATCAAGACCGCAAAGGGACACAAAGAGACCATCCAGTAAACAGTAACTGACTGACCTGCACAGGCAGCAGAATATACTTAGGCTACAAAGCAAATTATGATGATACAATTTTTTTTGTTTTGTTATTCTCTTTTTGGTCAACTGCAGCTTGAAGTATAAATGTAACAAGAGCCTCAGAGAAATAAATTCTAACATCTCTATTGGGACTCTTATATTCTAGTGGGACATTGTAGTAAACTATAATAACAGCTTTAATGCTGTTCTTTTGAACTTTCTTTTCATCAAAGAATCCTGAAAAACGTATCACAGTTTCTAAAAACATAAATCAGCACAACTGTTTTCAACATTGATAATATTAGGAAATGTTTTGGTAACACTTTAGAATACGGTTCCTTCGTTAATGAATAACTACACAGGAACAAATGAGTAACACAATATTAACAATCTAGTAACTACTATTAACTAACAAGAAATTCTGATTAACAAATTAGTAAGTAACAGCGCACAGATGAAAGTGGTAGTTCACTATTAACTAATCAATAACTACTTTTTTTTAATGCTTCCCAGAGAACTACTGTAAGAATCATGGTAACTAACTAGTAATGACTCAAGTGTTACTACATACTTCTAAAGGAATTACTAATTCTTTTAAGCTTTTGAGGTTTTTGGTGAAGTTTTAGATAGTAATTCCCATAGAAGTATGTAGTAACACTTGAGTAATTACTAGTTAGTTACCATGATCTTCACTTTAGAATACGGATCCAAATAATTAGTAATTCCTTTAGAAGTATGTAGTAACACTTGAGTAATTACTAGTTAGTTACCATGATCTTCACTTTAGAATACGGATCCAAATAATTAGTCATTCCTTTAGAAGTATGTAGTAACACTTGAGTAATTACTAGTTAGTTATCATGATTATTACATGAAAAGCCAATCCTAAAGTGTAGAATCTTCTAATCCTTAACAAGATATTTGCACACACGTATGAGGTAGGAGACATTAATAAAATCTTTTTTTTTTTGCGAGGTATAGGTTAAATAATAAAATAACTGTATGTGGTATTTGGATGGCCGATAACTCAATATGTTCCAGCCGTCACCGTGACTCTGGCCAATTTTCTGGCATTCCTCTGGACTGGCATTGAATCACTACAGGACAAGTAAGGTCCCGACAACTGCATTTAAAAAGCCATTTCTTTAAAATTATTCAGTTGATAAATAGTTCTCTAGGAGAGAGCATAGGCTAATTATTTCCCAAATCATAAGTCTGCTATGCTATTACATATTGATAAACCTTGTGTATTTGTTTACAGCAGTTATTAATGTTAATGTAGTGCTAGTCATTTGTCCTGCATTAGTTATTGATTAGTTTTGCATGAACTATTAATCTTCTTCAGTAGTTCTCTGGGAAGCATTAAAAAAATAGTATTATAAATTAGTTAATAGTGAACTACCACTTTCATCTGTGCGCTGTTACTTACTAATTCATTATTCAGAATTTCTTGTTAGTTAATAGTAGTTACTAGATTGTTAATATTGTGTTACTCATTTGTTCCTGTGTAGTTATTCATTAACGAAGGAACCGTATTCTAAAGTGTTACCAATGTTTTTTTGAGCAGCAAATCATCATTTTAGAATGATTTCTGAAGGATCATGTGACACTGAAGACTGGAGTAATAATGCTGAAATTTCAGCTTTGCCACCACAGGAATAAATTACATTTTAGAATATATTAAAAACAAAAGAGTTATTTAAATTATTATTTAAATTCTATAGACTTCTTTCAAAAACATAAAAAAAAATCTAACCAACCTCAAACTTTTGAACGATAGTGTGTATATATGTATACATATATATATATATATATATATATATATATATATATATATATATATATATATATATATACAGTATATATATTATATATACTGTGTATATAAATATATATATATATATACACACACACACACACACAATTTTGTTTCCTGTTGTGACATGCTTTCAACTGAAACAGGAAACTGGGGTGGGACAAACATTACTCAGTCACTTCTCAGTGTGACCGTTATTAGGTTGGCCAGAACCGGGACCAGATGTTTGGATAGAGGTCCTTCAAGAAAGAGATGTTAGTCTTTTCACAACAAAACTTGCTTGATTTAGACTAGCTGACTCCAACGAGACAGGAAAACACAACAAGATCATAAAGATTACTTGCTCCAAAAAGCTAAGTCACTCTCACCTCCGCTGAGGCTGAATATGTAGTTGGTTAAATAATGAATGACTTGAGACAGGATGTTGAAAAAAAAAAAAAATCCAGCCCAAAAGATAGAAATAAAAGGTCAAAATACAACTCTGATTATGTAAACACAATCTTTTATTTATTTATTTAATGGAAGCAAGTTTATGTTTCAAAGCATTTAATGGTCTGAAAGGTCTGAGGGTGTCAAGCTTCTAACTAAATTTCTAACTTATTTGGAGTCATGCATGTACGGATAAATTGTTAAACAGGATCTTGGAGTTGCTATAAAAATACAGTAGCCTTTTTTCTATATCATTGTTAATGAACAGATATGAGCAGTTAGAAGGTTGAATGAATTACTTTTCTGTACATACCTCATTGATAGGCTCCAACTGTTCTTTTTCAAAGGTTGAGTGCAGCAGAGAATTGAGTTCATGCACAGGACATAGAGGAAAAAAAAGAGTTCAGTGAGAGGACAGGTCTCTTTATTGAATGTTCACTATTTGTATTCAAATAAAAAAACATTTTAATAATTAATATTAATGAAATTTGTTAGCAACCTTTGCCTAATTGTTTTTAAATTAATAACATTATTAGAAATATTTAATCATGTTCATGTTTTCTATGATATACATTGCTCAAAGGTATCAGTAAATAACATAACATTGCTTAAAATAATTCATTAAAGAATCCTGAAAAAAATTATCAAACTTTCCAAAAAATGATTTTTAAATTAAGCAGCACAACTGTTTTCGACTTTAATAATAAGAAATTTTTCTTGAGCAGCAAATCATTAGAATGATTTCTGAAGGATCATGTAACACTGAAGACTGGAGTAATGATGCTGAAAATTCAGCTTTGCATCACAGGAATAAATTACACTTAAAATATATTCAATTAGAAGAAAGTTATTTTGAAAGAGAGTTATTATTCACAATATTAATGTCTTACTGTATTTTGATCAAATAAACGCAGCCTTGGTGAATGTAAGAGCCTTCTTTCAAAAACATTAAAACCTTTTACAGACCCCAATGCTTTGAACAGTAGTATTATATACACTCACCGGCCACTTTATTAGGTACACCTGTCCAACTGCTCGTTAACACTTAATTTCTAAGCAGCCAATCACATGGCGGCAACTCAGTGCAAAGGGGCTGTTTACACCTGGCCACTTCATGCGTTTTCTGTGATCGGATAGCTATCCGATCGTGAAAAGACCAGGTGTAAATGCCCTCCGAAACGCATTCGAGACGGATTTGAATCCGATCGCTCAAACCACTTCAGGAGGTGGTCTGGGCCGCATTCCAGGCGAAACTGGACAAGTGTAAATGCATCTGGTTGTTGAAACCACATATGTAAATTTTACTCCTCCCAAAAATGCTAAAAAATAAACGTGTGAGAGCGTGTTATATAGGCTATAGTCAGATATGACGACGCTACTGCAACACGCATTAACGCAGATGAGCAGCTGAGTGTCATCAAGCCAACGTGCAAACTATCGTAAATCAAAGTGAAAGTAAGTCGCAGACGCTTAACACACAATCATCTTCATTAAAAGTAAAGAAACGAAATGATCTTACCAGGGCTGTTGCCGCTCTCTCTTATTGCTCTCTTTGATTTTGAAATTAGCTGATGATCAATAAAATGCAGCTCAAATCTGTTGCTTTCGGTGACGTGCACTCCATTAAATCTGCATATAGCGCGGGAATTGAAGATCGGATTTATATCCGATTTGCAAAAACACATTTATGGGGCTGTTTACACCTGGCCACTTCATGCGTTTTCTCAGATCGGATAGCTATCTGATTTATCAAAACGATTCCATTTACACCTGGTCACATAAATGTGTTTTTGCAAAACGGATATAAATCCGATCTTCAATTCCCGCGCTATATGCAGATTTAATGGAGTGCACGTCACCGAAAGCAACAGATATGAGCTGCATTTTATTGATCATCAGCTAATTTCAAAATCAAAGACCGCAATAAGAGGGAGCGGCAACAGCCCTGGTAAGATCATTTCGTTTTTTTTACTTTTAATGAAGATGATTAGTGTGTTAAGCGTCTGCGACTTACTTTCACTTTGATTTGCGATAGTTTGCACGTTGGCTTGATGAATAGATGCTCAGCTGCTCATCTGCGGTAATGCGTGTTGCAGTAGCGACGTCATATCTGACTATAACATGACATATAGCCTATATAACACGCTCTCACACGTTTATTTTTTAGCATTTTTGTGAGGAGTGAAATTTACATATGTGGTTTCAACAACCAGATGCATTTACACTTGTCCAGTTTCATCTGGAATGCGGCCCAGACCACCTCCTGAAGTGGTTTGAGTGATCGGATTTAAATCCGTCTCGAATGCGTTTCAGAGGGCATTTACACCTGGTCTTTTCACGATCGGATAGCTATCCGATCACGGAAAACGCATGAAGTGGCCAGGTGTAAACAGCCCCTATGTGACCAGGTGTAAATGGAATCGTTTTGATAAATCAGATAGCTATCCGATCTGAGAAAACGCATGAAGTGGCCAGGTGTAAACAGCCCCTTAGGCATGTAGACATGGTCAAGACAATCTCCTGCAGTTCAAACCGAGCATCAGTATGGGGAAGAAAGGTGATTTGAGTGACTTTGAACGTGGCATGATTGTTGGTGCCAGAAGGGCTGGTCTGAGTATTTCAGAAACTGCTAATCTACTGGGATTTTCACGCACAACCATCTCTAGGGTTTACAGAGAATGGTCCGAAAAAGAAAAAACATCCAGTGAGCGGCAGTTCTGTGGGCGGAAATGCCTTGTTGATGCCAGAGGTCAGAGGAGAATGGCCAGACTGGTTCGAGCTGATAGAAGGGCAACAGTGACTGAAATAACCACTCGTTACAACCGAGGTATGCAGCAAAGCATTTGTGAAGCCACAACACGCACAACCTTGAGGCGGATGGGCTACAACAGCAGAAGACTCCACCGGGTACCACTCATCTCCACTACAAATAGGAAAAAGAGGCTACAATTTGCAAGAGCTCACCAAAATTGAACAGTTGAAGACTGGAAAAATGTTGCCTGGTCTGATGAGTCTCGATTTCTGTTGAGACATTCAGATGTTAGAGTCAGAATTTGGCGTAAACAGAATGAGAACATGGAACCATCATGCCTTGTTACCACTGTGCAGGCTGGTGGTGGTGGTGTAATGGTGTGGGGGATGTTTTCCTGGCACACTTTAGGCCCCTTAGTGCCAATTGGGCATCGTTTAAATGCCACGGCCTACCTGAGCATTGTTTCTGACCATGTCCATCCCTTTATGGCCACCATGTACCCATCCTCTGATGGCTACTTCCACCATGTCACAAAGCTCTAATCATTTCAAATTGGTTTCTTGAACATGACAATGAGTTCACTGTACTAAAATGGCCTCCACAGTCACCAGATCTCAACCCAATAGAGCATCTTTGGGATGTGGTGGAACGGGAGATTCGCATCATGGATGTGCAGCCGACAAATCTGCGGCAACTGTGTGATGCCATCATGTCAATATGGACCAAACTCCCTGAGGAATGCTTCCAGCACCTTGTTGAATCTATGCCACGAAGAATTGAGGCAGTTCTGAAGGCAAAAGGGGGTCCAACCCGTTACTAGCATGGGGTACCTAATAAAGTGGCCGGTGAGTGTATATATATATATATATATATATATTGGGTAAGTGTGCTCCCTGAGGAGCTGGTCTGATTGAAAAATAAACAAATAAAAAAGCAGAAACCTTTGAAGCTACATCCAGTAAGGAAAAAGTTGCTATAAACCTCAAATATTGTCCTACTTGTTTTGTATTATGGGTTTTAATTTAAGAGCACTGTAATAATCCACCTTTGCATTAAAGTGTTATTGCACTAATTTATTTTGATGAGCATCCCAAAAAGCCACATTCAAATTAATCTGTATTTAAAAAAAAATATCGAACACCACTGGTCAGACTTTATAAGGGACAGAGTCTAAAACACATAACATTTTATCTGACTGCTTACACACAGTACAGTTATATTCCTTCCTTTCAACACCAGTGAACATCTACTGGTTGATTTCTCTCCCGTTCCCCACCCCCTGTTCCTACTCTCTTGCTCCTCATCAGCGGCCCAATGTTGTCTAAGCAATTAGCTGTGGCTGTAACCATGGCAACAGTGATACGAACTCCTGTCCCACCCAGCCTGCACCTTGCTGCCGCCGGCTCAGGCAGAGATGACGCATTAGGGTCACTGAGATGGGAGGGATGGGACACTATCCCCACTGGTCCACATGGCCAGTTCCAGCAAGCGCTATTCCCATACCAGGGGTCTTTAGCACAGTTCCATAAATCATAATACAGCATACAGACACACAAATACACCGCCACAGTTTAGACGTCAAAAAGAAGCTGCATTCATACTTAATTCACAAAAAAACATCAGTCTGTCTGCAGCCTATATGGTTTAAATGAAAATATCACACAAATCCCAAATCCCATATAAATCAATCGCCATTAAGTTTTTACTGTATATGACATATAAAAAAATATGTCCACAAATATATATTGAGAATTTACTCATCAAATCCTAATATTTCATAAACAATAAGACATTAAAGTGAATAAATACAAACAAATCATACATTTAGGAAACTGAAATGGTTTTAGGCCTTGACCAGAAATAATCGTCAGATAAAAATAATAATAATCTGATTATGAACGAATGAGCAAAGGAAGACACATATGAAGATGAAAAGTGTAATCCAGAAGGATCCAGATGGGAAAGTAGTGACTGGGACTCACCTGTGTGTACGCCATCCTCCTCTTACTCTCGCCCCACTGTCTCACTTCCCATCCAGAGCAACATGACACTCTCTGTATCCAGATTTACTCAGTAAAAGAGAGAGAGAGAGAGAGAAAGAGAGAGAGAGAAAAAAGAGGGGGGGAAAATCTGTAGATGTGACTCGAGTAATGAATTCAGGTCTCTATGGACTAGGTTCCTCTAACCAGCCTAACAAAATCTACTTCAAGAGTGATGGGCCAAATACAAAACAACAAACAAACCCCCTCTTCCCTCTCTAGCTATCTCTCTATATCTCCTCTTCCTCCCCATCATCTTCAATCCCACCCACTCAGACACCTAATCCCCCTCTCTTTCCTGCCTCCCTCTCCAGTCTCTTGTCGTGCCTAGTCCTCAGAAATGACACGCCAGACAGCGAGCTCTCCTCTCCCTGGAGAGAGCAGCGCCCTCCTTCCCCCTCCTGCCCTGAGTTTCTTTCAGAGACCAATGACTCATCCATGTTTGCAGAAGCACTGATGTATATCAAATCTCTTATGTGCATCCCTCCCCGCCTCCTCCAGTCTGTTTTTACAACACCTCGCTGGCTGCCTGCAACCACTTGTTTGTTCACTTCACCACGAGAGTCTGAGGAGAGATGGGCAGACGGCAGGTAAACGGACTAATTGCTGCCACGGCAACACGTTAGTTACACAGGGAGTTTATGAGAGCTGGGGTCTGTGCGGCCACCTGCTGCTGCTCTGACTGAGTGACTGAGGTAGGCAGACGTGCTACCATCTTTAAGACATGACGCACAAGTTGTTCTGGAGAGTCTATAAGATGTATATATTAGTAATTCCTGGTGCTGTATTGTAACCTGAGTGGGTGGAACACAAGGAACTTTAAAGCAAGTTTCCTTGGAAACGGTAGGGACACACGACCTGTTGCTGCGTCAGCTGCCGACTCAGAACTACCTCGCTCACCAGATGAAACTACGCATGGACTCTGAGCATCATGTCAGGTTATGGGGTGTAGAGTTTCACAGAGAGCGTTCGACTGATCTACAGCACTTGAAAAACAGACACTAAAGAGTTTATTTTATAAAGAAATTAAAGGGATAGTTCACTCAAAAATGAAAATTTTGTCATAATTTATTACACACCCTAGAGTTGTTCCAAACCTGTCAAGTCAAGTCACCTTCATTTATATAGTGCTTTTAACAATATGGACCGTTTCAAAGCAGCTTTACAGTGATAATAGGAAATTAAAGTAAGAGATTGTTTTGGCTTTACAGCAGCTCTAGAATAAAGTTATTGTCCAGCTAAAGTTAGTATTGATAGATTCACTTCCGTTGCAAAGATCATTAGTTATTAGTTATTAACTTAGAGGCCGCTAACGTCTCGGTTACTAACGTAACCTCGGTTCCCTGAGAGTAGGGAACGAGTATTGCGTAAGCAGCTTACGCTATGGGAAAACTCCTTTTCTCGAGAATATTGAAGCCAAATTTTTAAAACGCAGTGCAGCTGCACAGCAGACATACAGCTGAGCGTCTTAGCACGCTCATTGGCTGTGCCGGGGCAACTGCACGAACCTATAATGGCGAGGTGGCTAAGACGCGTAAATCAATCAGGTCACGCGTCAGAACCTGCCAGAATGGGCGTGGCTTATAGCTATATAAGCTAGGGGTGGCACGGTTCACAAAACCCACGGTTCGGTTTGTATCACGGTTTTAGGGTCACGGTTTTCGGTTCTGTACGGTTCTTGTTGTTATTTTTTCTTTTAATCTTTAACACTCCAGAAATGTACTTCAGCATAATATATAGCTTAATTATCCACAATTTAGGATACAGTATTAACAAAAATGTTATATCATGCAATCATGCACAAACTGAATTTAAGCACATTATTGGGACCATCTCCGAGGAAAGCTAGGTGAGATTTTGATACAGCAAGAGAGAAGACATTGATGACATGCTTTTCGTTTATTTGGCAAGAAAAGTAGAATGTGTATCACTATCTCTACAGGAACTTATGTGCATTTTTAGCACACAAAGATTGAAATTAACTTGCATTTATCAAACTGCCAAACTTAAGTGTAGCTCTTACAAAATTTTTATCTTTTTTAAAAAAAAGAGAGGAACTCTTAAAAACTCTCTTTTAAATAAGTCAAAATACATTAAACATTATTGCCTATAATTAGCTATAGCAATAGCAAAGGCCATAATCATAAAGTGAAACATAAGTTCAACCTCAACACAAAAACAGTATAAACAATGCTTCTATTCCCTGAGAGTGAGTATATACTTTTTTCACTTGAAATTAAAGTGCAGTATTTGGAAACATATGACTGGAGTTCTTATCTAAACTTAAAGTGCCACTGTAGCTGCTATATATTTAAATATCATAACATGAAATCCAAAATGTTCCCACACACCGGACTTATACGACGCTGGCGCATCCTCCAACTCCGGTTAGCCTTCCTTATCTCTCCCACTTGCCACTTCTCCCCGTGACGTGACCTGCAGCACTCCATACTCCACTTTTACTGGCGTGTTTGACTTGAACCGGCGCTGCACAGAGCGATCGGTAATGACATCACAGTACCGCGAGAGTGATTGAAAAGCATACGGAGCCGTCGCGCTCGCGGTACTTTGATGTCATTCACCGATCGCTCTGTGCAGCGCCGGTTCAACTCGAACAAGCCTCATTATGTAGCCTATGTCCACACGTCTTATTTCGCGTGAAAAGGAAACACACTGAGGTCACATACGGGCACGAGGCTACATTGCGCATGCGTCGAACCGTGAGACACACACACGCTCCGAACCGAGACAAGAAACAAAATGATCTTACCAGTTCTGTTAAAGCTCTCTCTTATTGCTGTCTTTGATTTTGAAATTAGCTGATGATCAATAAAAAGCAGCAATATCTGTTGCTTTCGGTGACGTGCACTCTATTAAATCTGCTGCGGGAATTGAAGATCGGATTTATATCCGTTTTTCAAAAACACATTTATGTGACCAGGTGTAAATGGAATCGTTTTGATAAATCAGATAGCTATCCGATCTGAGAAAACGCATGAAGTGGCCAGGTGTAAACAGCACCATAGAGGGCCAAACTCCCTCTTATATGGTATATATAGAACTGTAGTTCAGAGTTCAACCAGGACCAGACAGACGTCGGGCCTCATAGCTGTGTTAATTGCTTTAACACTTTATTTATATGGAAAGAACCCTTGCTTGTAAAGCGGGAACTTCTAGGCTATAAAACTCCAGCCCAGCCGGCCGCCACACAGATATCTTCAATTGGTATTTCACTCGACCATGCCCATGACGAGGCCATGCCTCTCGTGGAATGAGCCCTGACGGCTATGGGACAACGGAGGCCCTTAGACTCAGAGCCAGCGAGATAGCATCTACTATCCATCGCGACAATCTCTGCTTCGTGACCGCAAGCCCTTTGGACTGGCCGCCTGAAGCATACGAAGAGCCGTTCTGACTGCCTGACCGGGGCAGAATTCTCTAAATATATTCTGAGAGCCCTAATAGGGCAGAGCAGATTTGCGTCTCTCTCGTCCTCTGACTGGGGAAGAGCTGACAGCGAATAACCTGCGCTCTGAACGGAGTGGAGAGCACTTTAGGAACATACCCGTGCCTTGGCTTAAGGACGACTCTGGAGTCATTGTGCCCGAATTCAAGGCAGGAAGCACTCACTGAGAGCGCTTGCAAATCACCTACTTACTTGACTGATGCCAGTGCCAGCAAGAGAGCAGTTTTAAGCGAAAGAGGCTTCAGGCCGGCAGGGGTGGGGGTGGGGGGGGGGGTAAGGGGTGGGGGGGGTCAAGGGCAGGTTTAGCCTTCTGGCCCCCTTGAGGAAACGCATGACTAGGTCGTTTCTCCCTAGTGACTACCCGGCTACACAAGCGTGAAATGCTGCTATGGCCGCTACATATAATTTGAGCGTGGAGGGGGTGCGACCCGCGTCCAAAAGCTCTTGTAAAAAGGAGAGCACATTTGCCACTCTGCATGAGCAGGGGTCCAGGCTCCGTGCTGTGCACCAGCCGGAGAACACTGACCATTTTAGAGCGTAAAGACGCCTGCTTGAAGGCGCTCTCGCTTCAGTAATGGTATTTAGCACTCGTTCCGGGAGGTTCCCGGATACACGTTGAGGGGCCATACATGGAGGGCCCACAAAACGGGACGGGGATGCCAGATCATCCCGTTCACCTGCGTGAGGAGGTCTCTCCTCAGCAGTATCGGCTCCGGAGACCCACAGCTGGTTCTTCCAGAGAGCACTGCACACTTGCTCTCCCTGATCCGTTTGATGACCTGAGGTAGCATCGTGACCGGAGGGAATGCATACAGCGGGCGGCTTGGCCAGTCGTGGGCCAGCGCGTCCCTGCTCTTGGAAAAAAATGTTTGCCAACAAGCGTTGTCTTCTGAGGCGAAGAGGTCGACCTCTGCCTCGCCAAAGATGCTCCATATCAACTGAACCGTTTGCAGGTGAAGAGACCTTCCCCTGGGGGAACTTTGTCTCTGGATAGCATATATGCGCCCCGGTTCAGGACGGCTGGCACGTGCGCCGCTCTCAGCGAGCACAGGTTGAGCTGAGCCCATAGAATGAGGCGTTTGGCCATGGGGTGCAGGTTGCTCGACCTGAGTCCACCATGGCGATTTATATAGGATACCACTGACATGTTATCCGTCCGGACCAAGACGTGGCAACCTTTTAGGTATGGGAGGGAAGCTTTCAATGATAGAGCGACTGCTCTCATCTCTAGACAGTTTATGTGCAGGCGCCTCTCCAAGCTCGACCATAGGCCGGAGATGGGCCTGCCCTCGTATAGGACCCCCCAACCTAGGTTGGAGGCATCTGTCGAGATCACTTTCCTTTTCGAAATCACACCCATATCCACGCCGGACTGGTACCAGCCGGCTGCTTTCCAAGGAGTCGGAGCTCTGACACAGACACTTTGATGCGTAAGTGGCCAGTTTGCCACCCGTGAGCCGGTACACAGGGTTTTAACCATTGTTGGAGGGGACGCATATACAGTAGACCCAGCTGGAGTACTGATGATGCTGAGGCCATGAGGCCTAACATCCTCTGAAATCTCTTGAGAGGTGCGTGAGCACCTGCTCTGAACGATTACTGCCAGGCGCTGGATAGCGAGAGCGTGTTCTGACGTAAGCCGCGCTTTCATTTGTAAAGAATCTATGACTGTTCCCAGGAAGGATATATTCTGACTGGGAAACAGCACGCTCTTGGAAGCATTGATCCTGAGACCTAGGCATTCTAGATGGCTGAGGAGCCAGGATCTATGAGTTATTAACTGCGCCTCCGATTGGGCTATAACCAGCCAATCGTTGAGGTAGTTCAGCACTCACACTCGGGGCGAGAGCTGCATCCATGCATTTCGTAAATGTACGAGGTGTTAGGGATAGACCGAATGGTAGGACTGTGTACTGATAAGTCTGTCCCTCGAAGGCCAATCTCAAGAATGGCCTGTGATGGGGCGTTATCTGAATGTTAAAATAAGCATCTTTCAGATCCACTGAGAAAAACCAATCCCCTGGGTGAATCTGCGCAATGATTTGTTTGGTTGTCAGCATTCTGAACGTGTGCGTCATAAGCGCTGCGT